TGGATTCCACACGATATGCCATCATAAATCTAAAGTTGCTATCAGTGTATATCACCACAAACTTAAGTTCCCTTAGGTGAGTGACTGGGCTCATAAAAAGTACATCAGCGTTTCCTATGTCAAGAAATCTGATGGCCTCTTTTCTCATTGTGCTAAACGGCTATTTTTTAGTTTTACTAATCAGATAAACTTCACAATTTGCAATGCAGTTGTGGAAAAAAGTGTTGTTTAGCTGTTTTTCACCTCAATATTTATTCTCAGTGCCTTGAGATATTCTGTCAATGCATGCCTAAACCAAACGTGCCAGACCATGGCTCTGTTGTTATACTTAAACATCATACATTTCTCTGAGAACGGGATTCTGGAATATTATAAGGCAACAAACCCTTGTGAATGTTAATTTTTGTAACATTTAAGGTTTTCTCAACGTTTTTCTACGTAGTTTTCAAGCAATCATCTTTGAATACCTTACTTAAGACTACAGTATTTTCTTTTGCATCATTGGTACTCGCTTGCTCACTCTTCTTTATTATTGCTGTAGTTTGCGTAGTTATGAGTCTGGGCTGTAAAAAAGTGCTATTATTTGGCAGGTATTGATTTCTTTATAAATTTTTCTTTATTATTTACATTTTAGTTATCTTGTACAAGTTCTTTTATCCAATAAGGACTTCGATATATACCCAAATGAAAGTTTCGTGCGAATGAAGACAAAATATATCTATCTTTTTGCTATCTAAGTAAATCGTCATGCCCCTGTTGGCAAAACGTTGAAACGAGAGCAAGTTACTAGCCAGTGTTCCAAAGCAAGTGACACTATCTAATTAAATCCCTTTTTGAATGTTACTACCTAAAACACATCATTCTGATTTTACTGTCAAGTCCTCGGAAAAGTTGCTGTTACCACAAGTAATTAGTTTTTATTGTAACTTTTTTAAACTTTAGAGTACAATTTATATTTGAAAAAATGTTCAGTTACACCTGAGTTCACTACAAACTGAATAATCCCTTATTACAGAATGTCAACCAAATTTTCCACCACGCACTTAACGAGTCAAGTTTCAGGATCAGTTACATGTAAGCTATTACGTGCTTTAGAATCATCAACTTTTTATAATTCTCTTGTATTGTTTTTACAGTTGCACTTATTCCCTTTGGATGGTTTCTTATTAGTGTTGATTCTAGTTCTTCAGTTAATATGCTTATTATTATCTCTATTATGCTTTCGTTTTCTGTTATTATCTTTGTTGCTAGTACTGCCTTTATAACGTTGTACTACCACTGCCTTTGTAACATTTAAAGTCCTTACGATTATTTTTGTTTTGCTCCTGCAGATTGCATATGAATCGGTTGTAGGTATTAATTTTAAGTGGACTTTGGGCCTTTCCTTGGACAGTCCCTTGAAGTTTGCCCCCTATTTTCGCACTCGATGCATAACGTAGTAGAAGTGGCAGCAACCACTGCAGAGCCATCACCTACTTATTACGGCTCATAGCGATACTTGCTGCTGGTCTTGGAAGTGAACTCTCTGCCCCCTGTTGTAAAATATATTTTTGTAAGTACTTATATAGTTGACCATTTTCTTGATAAAACAATCTGTTAAAATTTGCTATTTTCACGTCAGGGACAGTGTCTATAATTGCATGGTAAAAGTTATTTCTTTTTTTTTTATCTTCTGGAAATATACACAGTTTGCTCTCTATTTCAAGCTTTCTGAATTTTATGGTAATTTGCTTGCAAAATCTAATATCAGTTTGTTTTTTTGGATCAAATATTGTAGAATAAAGATTCTTTTATATTTAATAAGCATTTGCCTTAATATTATTCTTTCAATTTCTTCGATCCTCTTTACTATCTTTCCATAATGAGCGATGTGGTACAATATTCTAATGTATCTAGTTTAATATTTTAAGAAAATACTACTTGACATCAGATTCATTATCTGTTCTTTGCCTTTGTCATCCTTTCCTAGTATGACATTTAGACTAGCTGCTAACTTCGGATCAATGGTATAAAGTAATTTCTTGTTTGTTCATTCCATTTAGAATTGTCACACAAATAATTCCTTCTTTATTTAACTTGTAAGAAAATAATTAATGCTACCCATACCCTCTTTATTAAAAACCTACATCCTTAGACTATTTAAAAGTTTCATAAATCGTGGTTGATAAATAAGGAATTATCACTTACCTTCGAAGCCAAACTAAGTAATATCTTTTAATTTTTAGATGTGAGTGTGGATGTAGAGATTTCATTTATCTCAAACAGATTTGTCTCTGTGAATCTTCATCGACGAGCCTCTGATAGTTTTTGCTACTGTCACTCAATGACGTGCTAGTTTAGCTCCACTCACAGTTCTGACCACAGTCTTGACAGGAGCTCCGTCTTAAATTTCTGACGGCCCAGAGTCTAACGTTTCTCAGCTGACTTTATTTCAGCTGCCTGCCTCTGGAACAATCGATACATATTCTACTGGACAAAGAGAAGCTCTCCTCATAACACAATGACTATCGCCCTTGGTTTTGCTTTGAGTGTACATTGTGTGCATTTGGGAGAAGCTATTAATTTATCATTTTTTGCGATCTATGGAGTTAGTTTCATCTCACAGATCTAAACGTTAGATAAAAAAAGAATGATGTTTTTTAAAGATCTACGAGTTATACATTAACCTTCGAATCTAAAATTTAAATGAAAAAAAAAACTATAAGTTAGATAGAAAATTAGGATAACATTGCAATTTTTTTGAATTTTTTGCGATTTAGAGAGCAAATTTTAATGTTATAACTCAATATTAAAACAAAAGAAAGTTGTATTTCAACAAAATCTAGAACCATCACATTTAATTTATTATTCCCCATGCAAAACAAAAAAGTTTGATGAGGGAAATGTCTTTTTATTCATTTTACAAGTACTTTTTGGCTCGAAGAACGTGAAACATATAAGTAAGATACAAAAAAACTACACTTTTGGCGATTTTCAAACACTTTTTGGGTCACAGAACGTTTAGATTATATTCTGCACGAACATGTTAAACACAAAAAAGTTTTATATCAATTAAATCTACAACTTTGTTTTGCATAGCATACCTCGAAAAATCAGGTAACAAAGTTATAGCCGAAAAAAATTTTTTTTTCAGTGAAATTACAATCTTAAAATGACTTAAACTTGTTTTCCGAAACAAGAAACTCTGCTGATTTTAAATTACCACTTAAGACATGAAAGACAAAGCTCTATGTCAAATTTCAGCCAAATCCGACTAAAACTGCATGAGTTAGTAAAAAAACTTGATTACTCTTATACATCCATACATACATACATACATACACCTCCGACGCTGAAGTCCAAGATCGCAGTTTGTTTTACTAAAACTTTTTAAAATAAAAATAATAAGTTCTATTACATGAATTCTTTGCTCTGGAAAAAATATGAGGCACTCCTGAGTATCAATCATGCTTTAAGACTTACAGCATTGAACTATAGATCACATAAATTGTAAGAGTTGAAAGATTGTAAGAGACTCTCTAGGCCTTTTTTCCAAAAAATACTGTTAAGTACTTTTCATTTCAAGTTTTATACTTGAAGCCATAAAAAAACATGAAACCCTGCAACAAAAAAGCTGGTATCTTGTCACATCAAAACGTAGCACTGGCTTAAAAATTATTAAGTTGTATTGTTTTTAAATAGATCTTTCAGAAATAAATTTCTTGTTCGTTTAAGTGCACAAGTTATAGCTCAATTTTAAAGTCTCAAGTATTTTATAATATCTGCTGTGTAAGTAGGTAAAAGCTGAGATGCACAGCTTCTACATGGTCCAGAAGAGTAAGAAGCCTAATTTTTCGTAACATTCATGTTTTGTAGTGTCCTATGATAAGGAAACATTCTTACACTTTTCTTTTGAGCGCCATATTTTAAATGTAACATTGAATAACTCCTTTTAATATACATATTGTAACAAAACATAACTATTTTACACGGAGTTAATAGTTTTAAAAAAACTAGCGAAATCCTTTGCTTTTACGGTTAAGAAAAACTAATTTTTAAGAAAATGTAGTAATCAAGCTCTTTCAAAATGTTGAAAACTTATATGGTTTGTAAAAAAATCTTTTGTTTTATATTACACCTCAAAAAAAAGTAATAAGACAATTTCGTAATTAAATTAATTTTTAATAAACAAAGTTTCTGATAGTTTACTATCTAGACAAAAAGTGACGTATGTTTTAATTGTATACAAAAAAGTTCTAAAAAAATCTAAATTGTAATCTAATTTGGCAGCCGCAAAAAACTAACAAAGATTTTTATTGACGTTAAAATGTATGTTAATAGTATAAAGTTTTAATTTTTCATTCCATTTTTTGTTGTGAAGATTATGAGCAGCTATTTGCAATGTTATTAAAGGAAAAGAAAAATCAGCTGTATTAAAAATATCATGAGAAACATTTATTATATTATAATAGACCACTTGATCGTCAAAACAAGCTGTCAACATCTACCATTAACAATATCTAAAGTCTTGCAAACCCAAAATCAGAATCCTCAGTTCTCACAAAATTAAAGGTTCATAACATTATTTAATGTGTATTTTATTTAAAACTCTTGATTAGGTTGGTCATAGCAATTATACATACTTTAAGTTGAAATACAAATAATTTCTAACTTGCAAAACTTCTGGCAATCAAATGTCTTGAGTCTTACATTATCCTCAAAAATATAACTCGTTTTTTCTCTAACTATTGTACAATATAAATGGCTTTGAAGTATTAGTACTACAGGCTTCCCAATAATCCAACATACAGAAAACTTCTTGTAATAATAAACATATGAATATAAACTTATTTACAAGTGTAAATACTAAAATGTTAGCCTGCTTTATAAACGTAATAAGTATGTTTAGAAAATCAACATTGCAATATACATAATATTTTCTAGAAATAAGTTCTATTATAAATTGTATCATATCGTTAAAGCTAAGAACTCAGTAAAATTAATTTTTTTCTTCAATGTAGGAGTCCTATTATGGAGAGGCCTGGACTACACCTTCTTCGTAAATCAATGTTTTGGAAATAAGAGTGACAAAAGCAAGGGAAGACAAATGCCAGTCCATTATGGTTGTAAGTCCCTCAACTTTGTAACCATATCTTCACCATTGGGAACACAATTACCTCAAGGTACAAACCAAAATTTCAATTTCTTTATTAAATAATATTCTCAAAAATTTGAAATACGAGATATCACCACTTTTAATAACAAATGGCGTATTTGTTAAAACTTCCCATAACCGACAACAAACAAATTTTAATGATAGTGAAAATAACGCAAAAACATTATAATATAGAAAACAATAATAGTAAGACTGTCAAAGCTAATAATTATAATTATGATTCTGATAAAAATAATAATTACAACGATAGTGACGATAAATATGCGAAATAAGTATTAAAATAATAATAATAATGATGATTATGATTGTAATAGTAATAAACATAATAACATCAATCATGTAACTGATTATGGTAATACTGAAAGGAACTATAAAAGAATAAGTATAATAATGAGGACTATGATGAAAATAGAAAGGAAAATAGAAGTTATATGAAATTATAATATCACATCAAGGAATTACAATTATGGAAACGATAATACAAATGGTTATTAAAATGATATTGAAAAAGAAATAAAACTAATATTTTCAATTACGATTATAATAGTAATAATCATTATAATAATAAAAACAATAAGTATTGAGATACAAGTATTATCGTAATAAGAATGGTTGTCTTAACAATGGCAACGATGTGACTTATTTTATTTATAACAAGTATAATAATTATTTAAATAATTATTTTTATAGTTATTGTAAGGATAAGAANTGAAAATGACAATTAATAAGGTGAGATTGATAATAATAATGTTGATGATTGTGACAATAAGGACTTTGATGATAATTCAATAATTTATAAATTATAATTAATTTAACAAAGACAGCAAAAACAACAATAATTGTAATAGTTATAGTAACTGAGATTATGACAAAAATTGATATAATAAAAATAGTCATAGTGTTACGAATAACAATTATAATAAATATTTTATTTCGTTTACTCATAATTATCTCAATAATAACTATCAACATATGAGTGACGAAAAAGTTTGTAATCATAAATATTGCAGCAGAGATAATAACAGAGTTAAAATACATAGTAGTAGTAGAATGGTCGTTATAATTGTAACAAAGAAAAAAATCAAAGATTAAACTCATTAAAAAAAAAAATATAAATAACTATCGTCATTATAACTTGGCTATCAGTAATAATCATAATAAAAGAGCTGATGATTATAACTATGTTGAGAAAATGATAATTCGAATAAGTTTGACAAGTATTACAAAAAAAAGTATTTTTTATTATAATGACGATGACGATGATATAGTAAATAATGTAATGACATAAAAAAATTATGATTATGATAATAATAAGAACGTGGTAAGAATTAGGAGTACATATTAAAAGTAATAACTACCAAACAAAAACTCATAATTGTAATCAAAGTATCTCAATAATAATTTTTCTTTTTTTTATCCAAGGTCGTCAAGAATGCCTGAACGCAAGACAGAAAGGAGTACAACCCTTTCCTGCTTGGAAATCGCAGTAAGGCTAAAAATGCTTATTTTTTGCTATGGTGTTCTTAACGATAATGACTGAATACCCACAAAACTGGTAAGACCTATCCCCTGGGACAATTTGGCTTGAAGTTGACATACGAACCTGTCTCCTTGGACAGCATTTTAAAAATCCTATTAATAGCCTCATCATTTATTCTACATACCTGGTATTAGTCTCTCCAGTATTCACTAAAGCTATCTTTTGCTTTTATTTATTTACTTCTAGCTGCATCACTGTTCTCATCAATGGTGAGCAACCAAAACTTCTGGTTCATGTGAGTTTCACGTCAGCATTCTAGGTGATCGAATCAAGATCCAGGGTTTCAAGTGTCATCGTTTTCTCGTCTGTTTTTCGGATCCTAAGCCTTTGAAACTCTTAGCTATAATGCTAATCAGGGACTCTCCGTCCTTTACTGCGTTATCTCCAAAAAAAGTCTCTCTTTTTAGTCGTAGTGACTTCTTTGACTGGAATATCATCCTCTTCTGGCTTAAAATCGTCCTTATCGACTTTGGCAAAGCTCAGCTTCCCGTGACATTATCGAGAATTTTCTCCTTCTTTTCTTACATAACCACGTTTGCCACTGTCACTATCATTGAGTGTTATCTTAGAGATAAGTTTTTAAAATTACCAAGCCTTTTTCCCTTTATTAAGAGGAAAGGTGACAAGTCTCCTTCAGAGCTTTCAGCCTCCTTTTCCGCTTGCCTCTCAGCAGACATTCCAAGAGTCTGAATAAAATGAAGCGTGTAATTCTTTACTCATTTCCTGATCTGTACATCTTCAGCATATTATTGCAACCAAAGTGTTCTAGAAAAGATTCCATCTTTTTTTTGTGCCTTCGGAGTAATCCTTCGACTTATTCAGAAGTTTCAACACCGCTTTTATATCATCTCTTATCGGTATTGCTGTTTTTGTAAAGTTTCTGATATATTTGGATAATATAACTTTGTGTTGTTGCTAAAAAAGCTGGTAGCAATATTAACACTCACTTCGCTTCCAGTGCATAGCAGACTAAGTCACTCCTGGCTTGGGAAAAATATGAAAAACATCTGTTAGTAAATTTAATATGAGGTTGTCTCCTTACTTCCTATCTGGATGCCTTGGAGCTGCCCCCAAAAAATCGTAATTCAACACAAATCACCCAGACTAAAACCAGATCTAACAAGCGATTAAGACTGTAAAAAAATGTTTTACTTTTGTTCTCATCACCTCCAGGTACAAGCTTCGACAAACGCAGTGCAAGCAATCTGCCATCTAAAGGACGTGACTCAAAGCTAACAGCCGCAATCTAATAAAGTCAATGCTGATAGTCATAAAAATGACCATATTTCTAATAGAAATAACAATAACAATTATTATATTATTATTTATTAAACAAGTGATAATAATAA